ATTCCGCAAGATCGTTCTTCACAGATGGATCACTAATAGAGTCGTCCGCTGGTTTTGGTATTTTTAACGAATTTCATAGCGCCTCTCGAATGCTTCAAGCTCCTTGTTCCGTATATGTTGCTGAGCTGGCGGCAATACATTATACGCTAGAAACGATCGCCTCACTTGCACCAGATCATTATTTTATTTTTACGGATAGTCTCAGTTCTGTCGAGGCTATTCGATCCATGAGGCCGGTAAAGCACTCCTCGTATTTTCTCATGAAAATACGAGAGCTTCTGAGTGCTTTATCTTTAAGATCTTTTGTCATCACCTTTGCATGGGTCCCATCTCATTGCTCGATTCCGGGCAATGAGAAGGCGGACTCGCTTGCAAAGGTGGGCGCTATGCAAGGCGATATTTACGATCGACAAATCGCCTACAATGAATTTTTCTTCATTTATCGTCAACAGTCGCTCGCCAGCTGGCAAAATAAATGGAGTGAAGGTAGTTTGGGACGATGGCTATTCTCGATCATCCCTAAGGTGTCGAAGAGTCCTTGGTTCAAGGGGTTGGATGTGGGTCGAGACTTCATTCGTCTGATGTCTCGCCTCATGTCCAATCACTATTCGTTAAACGCTCACTTGTTTCGTGTTGGGCTGGGAGACAGCAATCTCTGTGAATGTGGACAAGGTTACCAAGACGCCGATCACATCCTTTGGTCTTGTGCTGAGCATCGTGGAGTCAGATCTGAGCTATGCGATTCCCTTCGGGCTCGAGGTAGACAACCTAATGTTCCAGTTCGGGATATTTTGGCTAGACGTGATCTGGAGTTTATGAAACTCATATATGTTTACTTTAAGAATACTAACCTTAGATTGTAAGTTTGATTAACCTTGTGTTTAGTTTGTGTATTGTGCGTGTAGTTTTTTTTTTTATGTTTGTCTTCAAGATGAATAGAAATAAGTTCATGTTTTAGGATTAATTAAATATTTGTATAATAAATCATATTTCAAACCTCCTTCTCCCTTTCCCCATCCAAAAAATTGTAAATCTCCACTAACCTCGAGACGACCGCGAGTAATCGGTTCAATTCCTTTAACTCTAGATTTAAGACATGAATCATGTATAATGCAAATGATAACTCGGCTCTGTAAAGTTTATTCGATTGAGCCTGTACAAATAAATTAATAAAAAAAAAAAAAAAAATGTCACCTTGGGTGATAAATCCTCCAGACAATTGTTACACACTTTATTTTACTCTCGATTTTACTCTAACATGTTCAGTCTTGTTCAACATGCTGTCGAAACAGGAAGACTGCGTGCGGGCATTGTACAATAATTGTTAAAGAATTATTCTTTCAAGCGAACGAAGATAGTGGAAAAAAAAGTTGACAGTGGGCCATTTTATGTTGGAAAATGTTTCGGTATTCACCGTATACCGTATCCTGGTATCCATGGAAGTAACCCGGAGAGAGGTAGCGAACGTCCAATGAAGACGCACTGCACAACATGTTCAACAACAAGGATTCGGTAAGTCAACGGGAAACGGACACAAAGTCCCGTTGTTTGAAGTCACACATCTACAAGACTCTTAGAAAAGAGGGAATAGAAAACCAGATCACTAGAGTACACTGACGAGCAAATGCAAACCGTGAGATCCTAATGCCACTGGATGACCTGGAAGTACGGCGGAAAGCCAAAAGATACAATATGTGCCAAAAGACCGGAATCTGACAAATCTGCCACAATGCCGTCTTATCGAATTGTTTTAGGTCTTTTGAGCTCCATGGTTTACAAGAATAATTGGAAGGCTAAGGACTACAAGCATTTTTTTTAGTGGACACCTATGTGTGTGTTCAACTTATACTACTCAGTGACCATACAGTAAAATTGACCTTTCTGACGTTTAAGGCACGCACATTTGTGTAATCACGATTTCTATTTTAAAGTTTGATATTTATGCTCCAACAAAAAGAGGCGTTCGTTTACGGTTTGTTTGTGGCACAGGAATTTGTTTAACTTTTTTTGCAATAAACATAAATTTATAAAATAGCGATTTGAAGCCCTATCATCACACATGGCTAACTGAAACCTATTTAGTCAAGGACGCTAAGTGGAATGGATGACAATATTGGCTCTCTAGTATTGAAATAAATCATAGTGCTACATATCATTTTGGATTCCGCAGGGTAAGGCCGACAACATAGTAGAAGCGATTCGAAGCGATTCGATTCGTTGGCAATAAGCGGAGCGCTTGCGTGAAAGCACCCTCTATGAGCGTTCTATGGGAATCGCCCAAACCAGCCATAGTGAAAGCGATGCGAAGAGGTGTAAAGCGTTCAGCAAAGCGACAGAGCTGTTCGTGTTGTGTTTTGACGCCTTCGAACGCAAGTGGACTGATTCTAGTGAGGAAAAATGGACACCGAAATCGATTCGGAAAATCTGATTGCTCTCGTTTTTACGAGAAAAGCGCTGTGGGACAAAACATTAAAACAGTACCGGAACCGGTTGATGGTCGATAAGCTTACCTTACCTTACCTCGATAAGCTTACCTTACCTTACTTTCCTTACGTACAACCTGAAGAACTCCCCATCTCGCCTTCTATTTCGATTGATCGGGTGAACTGCAAACTCTCTTTCGTTGTTGATTATGAAATTAATCGTGCTTGAGGAAGCGAAATATTCCTCATCGGATGAATCCATGCTGAATAACAAATTTGAACAAATATTTTGCACTGCGCGCGCGACTGTAATGTTTTCAAAAACGCTTTCACTATGTCATAGGTTGCTTCGCTTGCCGCTGCATTTCGCTTTGCCAATTGCTATCGCATCGAATCGCTTCGAATCGCTTCTACTATGTTGTCGGCCTAAGGGAGCGAACGACTGTCTCATCAATGCTTACATTTTCGTGTATATGCTGACGATGTACTTATCGTTACTACCGACCCAACAGCAGCACGTAACAGGATCAAAGCCCAGGCAGCAGTCTCCGCTGTAGCCAGGTGGACCAGCGTGGTAGGCTTCCAGAAAGCATCTGGTACCATGTGTGTCCATCCCAACACCGTGTCAACGAGCCACCTATCAAAATTCAAAGCCAGCCCATACCACTGAAGAAGACGGTCCGTATTCTGGGGGTACTTGTTGACCGGTGCCTCAACTTCGAGCAGAACTTTAAGGTGATAAAGAACGACCGCAGCAGGATCAACTTGTTCCGCATCATCTCACGCCCCCACCGGTCCAACAATCGTGACACTTGTTTCCAGGTTGCAAGTGCCGTCATTGATAGTCGCCTACTCTACGGTCTTGAGATGACGTGCACCGCCACCGAAAAGTTCGTGCAGATACTAGCACCAACTTTCAACACCTATGATCGGATTGTCTCCGGTCTACTTTTGTCAATGCCCGCAGATGTCGCATGCATCGAAGCGGGTATTCTGCCCTTCTGCCATCGTATAACCGCAGCAATTGCAACGAAAGCCGCTGCATTTACCGCAATGACCTCCGGAAATGACAGGATCTTTCTCGTCGATGAGAGGAACAGACTCCTCCACATGACTGCCGATTCGGAGCTCCCCCCAGTGGCCAAAGTCCACTGGTAAGGAGATAAAAGTTGGTGCATACCTCCACCAAAAATCGAGAGTCGGATAAAGAGCAGGTTCAAGGCTGTAGATAACTCTGCAGCGCTGAGGAGAACAGTAGCCGAACTGCTAGGTTTGGACTACCCATCCCATGCCCACATATAGACGGACGGATCGCTTTTCCAAACCGGGGTCGGAATTGGAGTAGCCGGAATTCCAGCACCGATGAGTAGCAGCCTACCGCCACAATGCTCGGTTTTCTCCGCCGAAGCTGCGGCCATCTTTGTTCCAGTTACAACACCCTTGGACCGGCCCATACTGGTGCTATCCGATTCGTACTGCACAGAATGTGCTACGTCTGTGGAACCACTGCATCGCTGGAACACATCCTATGCCTGTGTCCGCAATAGCAACATCTACGGGAGCAGTACGCACTTCCCAACAGCATTAGGGACATACTGGGCGACGAACCTTTTCTTTTATGGACAGTTATTTATTTTCTCAAAGACACTGGGCTATACAACAACATTTAGGTCCTTTAAACTCTCTTTTGGCTGACGGGACATCTCTGCCGGACGGAAGATTGCTCCAATCTCTTTCAGAACCCTACATAACTTTGATGTACCAGATTGCTTTTTTTTTGCCTGTATTGTTAGTCTTTTACTGGAATCTGTTTTAATTGCTTCTATTTGAGTACATGTGTTGTAAGCCAACTCTGTGACAAAATTTGCAGGCAGAACTCCCTTCTGGGGCCCCCTATTTTATAGAGATGAACAAGCCAAAAAAAAAAAGAGCAAATGGCTTCTGTGTTCTATCAAGAAGGTTTTTGATTCAGTATCGGTTGAGTCCTTCAAGACAAATTCCTTGCTTGTGGTCTTTCTCCATTCATTATTAACGTGTTGCACAATTTGCTGTCAGAGAAACACATGAGCTTTTCTGTTGGAAACTCTACAGCTTCACGATTTAGCTACATGGATCTCCCCCAGAGCTCATGTTTAAGCCAACTTTTGTATAATTTCTACGTCAGAGAAATTGACAATTGAGGTCATGTTTAAAAGATGAAAAAAAAAATTAAAATAATAAATTTTGTATTATTCTCAAACTATCAAATATGAAACTTTTAAAGATCTATTCCGGGAAACTTGAAAAGTCTAAACTAAAAAAAAACCTTTCAGTGCGTCTGCGTCTGAAGGCTCACAAGATAGTCCGAGAATTCTCAAACTATCTAAGCCTGCAGGCTCATGAGTTACCAAAACGACTGCAAACATATGTCGATACAGTTTTCGGCCATGAAAACATGCAGGGAAATTCAATCGTTCTTCAGTAGTTAATCGTTAACGTCTTCAATGGGAATTTGCATTGCAACGTTATTAACAACTCTGTTCTTCATTGAAATAAATCCTGCCCACATGATATGAAAATCTTTTCTTGTTAACTCACCTGAACGAGCTCGCCATAATGTCACCAATATTGGATAGACAAAGCAGCATCAAAGGGATTCCGAGGATGGCATAAAATATCGTCGATATTTTACCCATGTGCGTCTTCGGTGCAATGTGTCCATAGCCTAGGAAACGGAAAAAAAGAAAGAAAGAAAAGGTTACGTTATGTCACTCCGTAAACGAAAAGGGAAACCAAAAATGGATATCGCAATAAAACCCGCATTATGAACAGGATACTCCTTTCCACGCGATTGCAATTTTAAAGCGATGCTTTACGATTACGTCAAGCGCCATAAAGCACTGAGATACAGTCAAATCTCATTTCTATCATGAACTGCTTCCGCTCGTTCTCTTCCGCTGCACGTGCAACGTTCGCTCTGCATGAAGCTAAATCCCGAAAAATACTGATATGAGCTGCCTGAAAAAGGTTTCGGATTACATACATTGTATCACTCGAACGATTTCACCACTTCTTTTTGAAATTGGATTATGGAGTAATGGGAAATTGATTTAAAAACTCGCAAACGCGCTCCAGTGACGGTTCTGGCTCACAGTCGTTTAATATAAAATGTGTGAGTTTATGGCATTGACAATCACAACTCCAATTCACAACTACAATGACGACACTTTATAGTGTGGGAAACGCAAATCTTGGTAATGACCTTTCGGGCCATTTACCTTTCATCGTCAAATGAACTTGTCATTTCCATTTCAGCACTGAATAAGGTCATATTAAAATTGCCTTGGGGTATTTCCTCAACGTGAGCCATTTTGAGTTGAAAAGAACAAAATCAAATCTTTTGCGCTACCGCTTCCGTCATGTTCGTGTGTAAACAGCGAGTGTGCTCCATAACGGAAATATTAAACACATTTTATTGACATTGAAATTTGAATTCAAAATCTGGTGAAGAGATGGCCGATGGGAGAGAAACTGAAAGTAAGATATGTAATAGCTTTTGTCGAGACTTGCTTTATTCCATTGCGTCGTTGATTGACGTGGGAGGTGGTCCAAAGATTTCCTTGAACTTGTTTATTTTGCTCTGCTTCTTCTTCGGATGAGGATTTCCCATCACGCTCATGTGCTTTCGTGACTCATCACCCCGAGTACCAGTGACAGCAATGACAAGTTGTATTGCGATTTTTGTTTGCATTCCCACTGCTTCTGTGTCGTGCTATTTGATGTACATAAGTTTTAGAAAGGAAGAGAGCAAATTGAATATGCAATTTGGTTGTTGGCAATACATTAAGGAAAAACAATACATGATGTAACGTTGTTAACTTATGATCAATTGAGCTGAAACGTTCGCCAAAGATCTACAAATATGTTAAATTTTACGATTACAAAATATTAAATTTTTGGAAGCACCTGCCGAAAAGTGAGACACCAGGTAAAATTGTATTAATTCCGGGCATAAATTTCATCGAAGATAATTAAATTTCTTCCTCTTCAATGAAATGTATGGCCCAAATTCAGCCTTATTTGCTGTTTTGTATAGATTCTGCGTTCTGTTTCTTTGCTTTATTTAATGTCAGTCTCTGTTCCACAATCTAGTGCCAATCACCGACGGACATCGATTGCCAACAGCTTTACTTCCCTTCCGAAGTGAACCCAGACTCATTGGGGTGAGAAAGCAGTCACGCTTACCACTACACCACCGGCGCCGGCCCAAGCGTTCCGTTTCAAAATGTTGCATTTCGCTTTACTCTGCTTGCTCGCTTTACTAGTACTTTGCATTACTATTCTTCCGTTTTCTAATGTTTCTATACCGTTGGAAAGGATACTTCTTATTTTTTTCATTAATTTGTTGGTCATGTTACGAGGTTTTGTTGTTGCACTGTAAAATCTGGATTAGTATTTTCCATAACAAATTAGCAGAGACCTGTACTCTTTCATTAATGCAATTTTAAATTCGACTTTGTAAGTTTTTTTTTCAATAAATCAACTTAATAACAACTGCTATTTGTAGGTATATAGCTAACTATTTTTAAGATATTTTGATTTTTTTGTTTATAAAATTGTCAAAATGTCATATCAATGACAAATTACAAGACATACAGTAGAGGTAACAAAACTGCAATTTCCAAACCTATCGACTAGATGCTTACGTCAGATGACAACTTGAGTGTGAAACAATCGATATAACTGTTTTCGCACATTTCTTTTGCCAGTGGTTTTGGGGGGAGATATCCCTCACCATCCCTCTCCAACAGGGTAGTTTGGTAAAGGAGATGATCAAACCGATTCGTGCCTTTCAAAAATTTTACATTTGCTCGGTTTCAACTCTCTGTCGTACTCTAACGGAACTATCAACTTTCATCTCCTCATCTATCGTATAAAATGACCACTTTTAGTCTGATATTTAACGTTAAGCATCTACAACTAAATAAATTATGTTATGATAACAGTATATGTTACCAATAAACCACTTAAGATAGGATATCAAGTTTTGATACTATAATGCTATGCACTTACTTACTTGTCTTGGTCCGACATCCCTCAGGATTGCACCTGCATCATAATGTTACGCCAATTCACTCGGTCCGTGGCTGCTTGTCTCCAATTTCTTGGCCGTCCCACACTTTCACTTGGTCTAACCACCTTGCTCGCTGTGCTCCCTTTCGTCTTGTACCGCCCGGATTCGAGGCAAACATAATTTTTTGCGGGATTGTTGTCCGGAATTCTTAAAACGTATCCCGCCCATCGTATCCGTCCAGCTTTCGCAACTTTCTGGATACATGTTCGCCATAGAGTTGCGCCAGCTCGTGGTTCATCCTTCGCCTCCATTCACCGTTCTCACATACCCCGCCAAAGATGGTTCTAAGCACTCCTTGTTCGAAAACACCCAGTGCTTGCAAGTCCTCCTCGAGCATCGTCCACGTCTCGTGCCCGTAGAGAACTACCAGTCTTATCAGCGTCTTGTACATGGTATATTTAGTACGGAGGTGAAGTTTACCCGACCTCAGGGTCTTCTTGAGTCCGTAGTAAGCGCGACTTCCGGTAATAATACGCCGACGATTTTCTCTGCTGCAGTTGTTATCCGACGTCACCAATGATCCTACGTACACAAATTCATCCACCACCTAGAACTCATCTCCGTCGATTGTCACGCTTCTGCCTATGCGAGCCCTATCCCGCTTGGTTCCTCCAGCTAACAGATACTTTGTCTTCGACGTATTCACCTTTAATCCAAATTTCTCTGCTTCACGTTTCAGCCTGGTGTACTGCTCCGCCACGGCCTGAAACATTCTGCCGACAATGTCCACGTCGTCAAAGAAGCAGATCAACTGGCTGGTCGCAATGTTGAACAGGAGACAGGAAAGACCATCGCCTTGTCGAAGTCCTTTGCGAGTTTCAAACGAGTCCGATAACGCATCTGATATCCTCACGCAGCACTGTACACCATCAATCGTAGCCCTGATCAGTCTGGTCAGTTTCCCTGGAAAACCGTTCTCGTCCATAATTTTCCATAGCTCTTCACGGTCAATAGTATCATAAGTGGCCTTGAAATCGATGAATAGGTGGTGCGTAGGGACTTGATATTTATGACACTTTTGGAGGATCTGCCGCAACTTAAAGATTTGGTCCGTTGTCGATCGCCCACAAAACCGGCTTGATAACTTCCCACAAATCTGCTTGCTAGCGGCGATAAACGGCAAAAGATGATCTGGGAAAGCACTTTGTAGGCCGTGTTAAGAATAGTGATCGCTCGAAAGTTCTCAAATTCTAGTTTGTCGCTTTTTTATATACTGCGCATATTACTCCCTCTTTTCACTCCTCCAGTAGCTGTTTTGTATCCCAGATCCTGACTATCAGTAGGTGCAGACAAGTGGCCAACTTATCCGGGCCCATTTCGATAAGTTCCGCTCCGATACCATCTTTCCCAGCTGCTCTGTTGTTCTTAAGCTGTCGCATAGCATCCTTAGCTTCACCTATCGTGGGAGCTGGCATATCCTCCTCATCCGCTGTACCGACAAAGCCATTTCTCCTGCCGCCTTGGTCCTCCGCCTCTGCACCGTTCAGATGTTCATCGTAGTGCTGCTTCCACTTTTCAATCACCTCACGTTCGTCCGTTAAGATACCCCCTTCCATATCCCGACACATTTCGGCTCGCGGCACAAAGCCTTGGCGGGATGCGTTGAGTTTCTTATAGAACTTGCGTTTTTCTTGAGAACGATACAGCTGCTCCATTTCTTCGCACTCCAGCTCTTCCAGGCGGCGCTTCTTATCCCGGAAAAGATGGGTTTGCTGTCTTCGCTTCTGTTTATATCGCTCCACATTATGACGGGTTCCTTGCTGCAGCATCGCCGCCCGCGCTGCGTTCTTCTCGTCCAAAATCGTCTGACACTCTTCGTCGAACCAATCGTTCCGTCGATTCCGTTCCACGAACCCAACGGCACCTTCAGCAGCGCTGTTAATGGCTGCTTTAACGTTGCTCCAGCAGTCCTCAAGAGGGGTTTCGGTGAGTTCTCCCTCATCCGGCAACGCTGCGTCGATACATTACACGTACTCAGTTGCGACTTCGGGCAACTTCAGTCGCTCCAGATTGTACCGTGGCGGGCATCGGTACCTAATGTTGTTGACAACGGAAAGTTTTTGGCGCATCTTGACCATTAGAAGGTAGTGGTCTGAATCTATATTTGCACCGCGATAGATCCAGACGATGGTAATGTAAACGTGGTCGATTTGCGATTCTGTCTGCTGCGGTGATCTCCAGGTGTACCGATACGGGAGGCTATGCTGGAAGTAGGTACTACGTATGGCCATGTTATTGGAGGCGGCGAAAGTGTTGAGTCTAAGGCCGTTGGTGTTTGTTAGCTGGTGAGTGCTGAACTTACCTATAACCGGTCTGAATTGCTCCTCCTGGGCGACTTGAGCGTTAACATCTCCGATGACGATTTTGACGCCATGGCTTGGGCAGCTGTCGTATTCCCGTTCCAGCTGCGCGTAAAAAGTGTCTTTATCGTCATCGTCACTTGCTAAGTGAGGGCTGTGCACGTTGATTATGCTTAAATTGAAAAAACCGCCTTTGATCCTCAACTTGCACATTCTGCTATCGATTGGCCATCAACCAATCACGCGCTTCTGCATTTCGCCCATCACGATGAAAGCTGTACCCAGCTGTATCATGTGTATTGCCGCAGCTCTGGTAGATGGTATAACCATCCCTATATGTATGTACCGACGATCTCTTCCAGCAAACCTCCTGCAGCGCTACGATGTCAAACTTGCGGACCCTCAATAAATCGGAAAAAAAATGCGGGTACTTTTCAAGAAATTGAATGACTTGCAGTTCCATGTTCCGAGTTTCCAATCGTTAGTCCGTTTCCGTTGCTTGGGTCTATGCCGATTGTTCCGGTCCGTATTTACATTGCTACAAGTCTAAATCATGGTCTACAGAACCCTTTTAAAACCGAAATTGTTACTTGGGGAGGCTAAGGACCGCTAGTGGGGTCTATTTTATACCTGCAGATACGCGAAGTATCAATGGTACGCATTGTCCAGCCGTTTACCAGCCAATGCTATGCACCTCTACCCGGAATAACCTTTTCCGGGATAAGCTGAAACTTGATTCGCTTACTTCAGAGAATTCACAAACATGAAAATATACGCGAACAATTGAAATCACATGCAAAATAATAATATCTCTTATGCTGACGACAATATCCCCAGACAACCAAAGTGCA